ACTCGCGGCAATTTTTCAACGAGTGATGAAAATAGTTACCCCAGGTGGCACCTCGTGGAGGTCAGTGTCCACAATTCAGATGAAAGAGGGACCAACATAAGCCTAGAAATCCACGCCTCGAACAAATATTTTTTTTAGAAATCCACGCCTCGAAAAAATATTTTTTTAGAAATCCACGCCTCGAAAAAATATTTTTTTAGAAATCCACGCCTCGAAAAAATATTTTTTTAGAAATCCACGCCTCGAAAAAATATTTTTAAAAAATCCACGCCTCAGTTGGCCCTTGAAAAATATTTTTTAATAAATCCACGCCTCAGTTAGCCCTTGAAAAATATTCTTTAATAAATCCTCGCCTCAGTTGCCCACGCCTCAGTTGGCCCTTGAAAAATATTTTTTAATAAATCCACGCCTCAGTTGGCCCTTGAAAAATATTTTTAATAAATCCACGCCTCAGTTGGCCCTTGAAAAATATTTTTTAATAAATACACGCCTCAGTTGGCCCTTGAAAAATATTTTTTAATAAATCCACGCCTCAGTTGGCCCTTGAAAAATATTTTTTAATAAATCCACGCCTCAGTTGGCCCTTGAAAAATATTTTTTAATAAATCCACGCCTCAAATCCACGCCTCAGTTGGCCCTTGAAAAATATTTTTTAATAAATCCACGCCTCAGTTGGCCCTTGAAAAATATTCTTTAATAAATCCACGCCTCAGTTGGCCCTTGAAAAATATTTTTTAATAAATCCACGCCTCAGTTGGCCCTTGAAAAATATTTTTTAATAAATCCACGCCTCAGTTGGCCCTTGAAAAATATTCTTTAATAAATCCACGCCTCAGTTGGCCCTTGAAAAATATTCTTTAATAAATCCACGCCTCAGTTGGCCCTTGAAAAATATTCTTTAATAAATCCACGCCTCAGTTGGCCCTTGAAAAATATTTTTTAATAAATCCACGCCTCAGTTGGCCCTTGAAAAATATTCTTTAATAAATCCACGCCTCAGTTGGCCCTTGAAAAATATTCTTTAATAAATCCACGCCTCAGTTGGCCCTTGAAAAATATTCTTTAATAAATCCACGCCTCAGTTGGCCCTTGAAAAATATTCTTTAATAAATCCACGCCTCAGTTGGCCCTTGAAAAAATATTCTTTAATAAATCCACGCCTCAGTTGGCCCTTGAAAAATATTCTTTAATAAAAATATCCACGCCTCAGTTGGCCCTTGAAAAATATTCTTTAATAAATCCACGCCTCAGTTGGCCCTTGAAAAATATTCTTTAATAAATCCACGCCCTTGAAAAATATTCTTTAATAAATCCACGCCTCAGAAAAAATATTCTTTAATAAATCCACGCCTCAGTTGGCCCTTGAAAAATATTCTTTAATAAATCCACGCCTCAGTTGGCCCTTGAAAAATATTCTTTAATAAATCCACGCCTCAGTTGGCCCTTGAAAAATATTCTTTAATAAATCCACGCCTCAGTTGGCCCTTGAAAAATATTTTTAATAAATCCACGCCTCAGTTGGCCCTTGAAAAATATTCTTTAATAAATCCACGCCTCAGTTGGCCCTTGAAAAATATTCTTTAATAAATCCACGCCTCAGTTGGCCCTTGAAAAATATTCTTTAATAAATCCACGCCTCAGTTGGCCCTTGAAAAATATTCTTTAATAAATCCACGCCTCAGTTGGCCCTTGAAAAATATTCTTTAATAAATCCACGCCTCAGTTTTTTTAAAAATCCCTTGAAAAATATTCTTTAATAAATCCACGCCTCAGTTGGCCCTTGAAAAATATTTTTAATAAATCCACGCCTCAGTTGGCCCTTGAAAAATATTCTTTAATAAATCCACGCCTCAGTTGGCCCTTGAAAAATATTTTTAATAAATCCACGCCTCAGTTGGCCCTTGAAAAATATTTTTAATAAATCCACGCCTCAGTTGGCCCTTGAAAAATATTCTTTAATAAATCCACGCCTCAGTTGGCCCTTGAAAAAATATTCTTTAATAAATCCACGCCACAGTTGGCCCTTGAAAAATATTTTTTAATAAATCCACGCCTCAGTTGGCCCTTGAAAAATATTCTTTAATAAATCCTCGCCTCAGTTGGCCCTTGAAAAAAAATTTTTAATAAATCCACGCCTCAGTTGGCCCTTGAAAAATATTCTTTAATAAATCCACGCCTCAGTTGGCCCTTGAAAAATATTCTTTAATAAATCCACGCCTCAGTTGGCCCTTGAAAAATATTCTTTAATAAATCCACGCCTCAGTTGGCCCTTGAAAAATATTTTTTAATAAATCCACGCCTAAGTTGTACCTTGAAAATTTTTCTTTTTTAAATCCACGCCTCAGTTGGCCCTTGAAAAATATTCTTTAATAAATCCACGCCTCAGTTGGCCCTTGAAAAATATTCTTTAATAAATCCACGCCTCAGTTGGCCCTTGAAAAATATTTTTTAATAAATCCACGCCTCAGTTGGCCCTTGAAAAAATATTCTTTAATAAATCCACGCCTCAGTTGCCCTTGAAAAAATATTCTTTAATAAATCCACGCCTCAGTTGGCCCTTGAAAAATATTTTTTAATAAATCCACGCCTCAGTTGGCCCTTGAAAAATATTTTTTAATAAATCCACGCCTCAGTTGGCCCTTGAAAAATATTCTTTAATAAATCCACGCCTCAGTTGGCCCTTGAAAAATATTCTTTAATAAATCCACGCCTCAGTTGGCCCTTGAAAAATATTCTTTAATAAATCCACGCCTCAGTTGGCCCTTGAAAAATATTTTTTAATAAATCCACGCCTCAAAAAAAATTTTTTTAAAATCCACGCCTCAGTTGGCCCTTGAAAAATATTCTTTAATAAATCCACGCCTCAGTTGGCCCTTGAAAAAAAAATATTCTTTAATAAATCCACGCCTCAGTTGGCCCTTGAAAAATATTCTTTAATAAATCCACGCCTCAGTTGGCCCTTGAAAAATATTCTTTAATAAATCCACGCCTCAGTTGGCCCTTGAAAAATATTCTTTAATAAATCCACGCCTCAGTTGGCCCTTGAAAAATATTCTTTAATAAATCCACGCCTCAGTTGGCCCTTGAAAAATATTCTTTAATAAATCCACGCCTCAGTTGGCCCTTGAAAAATATTCTTTAATAAATCCACGCCTCAGTTGGCCCTTGAAAAATATTCTTTAATAAATCCACGCCTCAGTTGGCCCTTGAAAAATATTCTTTAATAAATCCACGCCTCAGTTGGCCCTTGAAAAATATTCTTTAATAAATCCACGCCTCAGTTGGCCCTTGAAAAATATTCTTTAATAAATCCACGCCTCAGTTGGCCCTTGAAAAATATTCTTTAATAAATCCATGCCTCAGTTGGCCCTTGAAAAATATTCTTTAATAAATCCACGCCTCAGTTGGCCCTTGAAAAATATTTTTTAATAAATCCACGCCTCAGTTGGCCCTTGAAAAATATTCTTTAATAAATCCACGCCTCAGTTGGCCCTTGAAAAAAATTTTTTTAAAAAAACACGCCTCAGTTGGCCCTTGAAAAATATTCTTTAAAAAATCCACGCCTCAGTTGGCCCTTGAAAAAATATTTTTTTAAAACATCCATATCTTAAAAAATATTTTTAAAAAAATCCACGCCTCGAAAAACTATTTTTAAAAAAATCCACGCCTCGAAAAACTATTTTTTTAAAAATCCACGACCTCGAAAAAATATTTTTTTTTAGAAATCCACGCCTTGAAAAAATATTTTTAGAAATCCACGCCTTGAAAAAATAGTTTTTAGAAATCCACGCCTTGAAAAAATATTTTTAGAAATCCACGCCTTGAAAAAATATTTTTTTAGAAATCCACGCCTTGAAAAAATATTTTTTTAGAAATCCACGCCTTGAAAAAATATTTTTTTAGAAATCCACGCCTTGAAAAAATATTTTTTTAAAAATCCACGCCTCTAGTTAGGCCTCGAAAAAAATATTTTTAAAAAATCTTTACTTTTTTGTAAAAAAAACACGGATATTCATTTTTTAAATACAATTTTTATTTAGCAAAACAATATACACATATAATTTTAATAATTATAATAAGTATGAACAAAATAATAAAAATTAACATAATATCTTAATTCGTTCAATTATCTATCGAATAATTATCATAATAATTAATTATCACGCTGATTTTTTCAAATTACAAAAAATTAAAATAATTATAGGTATAAAATTACTTTTCATGGGGTTTTCATAGAATTCACTTAAAAAATAATACAATTAAAAAAATGATTAAAAAAAACTTTGGTACAAATTCCATTACATATCTAGAATATTTTCTCTCTAGGCAACTAAGGGATATATATTATTAAAAAAAAAAAACTATTAAACATATTTAATTACATACATGGAATGATCTTTAATTAAAAAAAACTGATTTTTTTCCTAAAGGTCTTCTATATGCTTGTCAAATAAAAATACTTGTCAGAAATGGGCAATCAAAGAGCAAGGGCCATCTTCGACTGGCTATTGGAAGAAATTGACGAATTCCTTAGGGAACATTTTTGCATTAGGATTCCGTTGATGAATGTATTTCAACTAAACATATATACATACATAATTTTTATAATATTTATAATTTTTTTATTAAACTAAATAAATACTAATATAAAAATATTTAAAGAATTTGCTACAAGAAAAAAGTTGGCGGGGAAGAAAGCTAAGGAAAAATCCAATGGGCTCAGTAAAAACTTTGTTCGCCATAGCTTAGTTGGGTAGAGGGTCTGTTGTAACTATATGACCTGCATTAACGTTAACTCCTTCTTCGACTCTTCTATTTTTGGGATCATAACTATATCGAAATATTTTTTTAAATACTGTAACTGAGCCCCCCTCACCTTTCTGTGACCCAAATCAATGTTTTTTTTTCCTTTCCAACTCCCCTGTCATTTATTTTTAATTCTTCAAAATCTATAATATTTTCAGAAAATTTTCCAAAATTACTACTCTCCTTATAATCTCCTATCTAAATAAACGCAATCGAAATGACATTATATAAAAGGCAATTATACGCAATGCTAAAAATATCGATACCAAGAAAAGTATCGCCATTTGATAATTCGCCTCCTGCATATCGACATCTTTGAGAAAGACCTGTGGTCGCGAATAATGACAATACATGGCATTGCACTGCAAACGGGGCCGATCATAACCGAATATCGATAGGACCGAACCTTCAAAACTATATTTTAGAAATGAGGTTTTAAACAGCCATTTAAGGGTTTCGGGTGCATGTTTTTCCTGTACAAAGAAACCGGAGAAGGTTAGGAAGGGGCAAATGAAGAAGGGACCCAATATGGCAGCCAGCTAGAAAAGAGAAAACAACAACAAAGTCAATGAGAATTATTTTCTTTGAAAGATATGTAATTACACTTACCTTTATACTCAATGAGGCACCCACAGCCAAGCCAATACTCTGGCCCACCAATGCCGTTAAAAAGACCATTACACAAAATAATACCACTCGAAAGAGGTCAGCCGGTTGATCCGTCAGCCAATATGTAATGACTATATAGACTGTGGTACACACCATTTGTATGGGTATATCGGCAAGGGTTATTGCCACATAATAGGCCCTAAGGGAATACCAACGATTGAAATGTTCACGCGACACAATGGGGAATTCCAGGGGGACTGTAAGGAGAGAGAGAGAGAGAGAGAGAGAGAAGAAGAAAATTAAAAAAAATATTTAGAATAGTAAAAAATATATATATTTTTCTTAAATCCAGGCCAATAGGGAACTCGAAAACACATTTTGTCAGGAGAATAATTAAAAAAATTAGAGGTAACCTATAGATGCAGATTTTTTTAAAAATGTTTTTCAGGGGTCTCTAACAGGCGTAAATTCTTTAAAAACCTTTTTCAAGGGTCGCTAAGAGGAGTAGGGGTGGCGTAGGGGATGATAGATACCAAGCAACGGCTCTGATTGGCTTTAAAATGGCGAAGTCCAGACTTATCTTGGTGCCTCTTTCATCTCACCCCCGTGGTGTAACCTGGGGTAAATATTTTCATCACCCGATGAAATAGAGATCTAATATGTGCCACGAGGTCACCCATTAAAACTACAAAAATGTGGGTTGAGGCGTCGGGTTAGTTGCCCACACTCGGAAAACCGAACCTACTATGAAAAAGCTAAGAAAAAGAAAACCAAACCTCCCTATGCACTTGGAATTCGCCTTGGCGGATGTACTCAAGAAGTACAAAGCCGATATTATTGCCTTACAGGAAATGCGATGGAAAGGGACTGGCGTAAGTAAATCAGATGATTACGCCCTGTATTAAATCTGCCATGAAACGAGACGTGCATTTGCCTGCGGATTTATGGTAAATAGGAGAATAAAATACCTCGTCTCCAGATTCACACCAGTAGATGAGCGAATTGCTATAATCCGCATAAAAGCGAAGTTCTTCTACATCAGTCTCATATACGCCCATGCTCCGACCGAAGATAAAGATGAACAGACCAAAGACATGTTTTACGAGCGCCTAGAAACAGCATATGACCGTTGGCCTGGCCATGACATTAAAATTCTGTTAGGAGATTTTAATGTAAAAATCGGAAGGGAAAATATCTTTGGCCCCACAGTTGGAAAATTCAGCCTCCATGAAGAAACATCAGACAACGGCATGAGGTTGATTGACTTCGCGGTAGTTAGCAGCACCAGATTCAAGCATTTCGATATACACAAGGCCACCTGGATTTCCCCTGATCAAGCAACGTGAAATTGACCATGTTGTGATAGACGAAAGGCATACGTCCAGTGTATTAGACGTTCGATCGATCCGAGGAGCGAATATGGATTCGGACCACTTCCTTGTGGCAGCGTACCTTGGCTGCGTACCCGTCTTAATCTAGCGGCGTCCTAATGTAACACGGAAATTTGACGTCGAAAAGCTGTAAACACAACAGGTAGCCGAGGCCTACTCCGCTCACTTTACCCACCTGCTTAACGAAAGCACTTCTTGTCCCGATAATAACATATAAGCACAGTGGCAGAGAATTGCCCACGCGGCAAAAGCAACACTTGGGTACCAACCATCAAGAAATCCGTGGTACGATCAGGAGTGTCGCAATGCTACTGATGTGAAAAACGCAGCGTATGGGGCAACCCTGCAGACAGTAGCAACACGTAATGTGATGGAGAATTATCGGGAGAAAAGGACAAATTTACCAACGAGTAAAACGCCAAACCAAAGGCTTTGGTGCAGGCACATCCTCCTGTAGAGATGAGGAAGGAAACCTGGTGACAGATACAGACAGCATGCTGAGGATCTGGAAGGAGTACTTTGAAAAACTTCTGATATCAAATAGTAACGGTGAAGAGGATACCCCAGAACCAATAATAGATGACGGTATAGAGTGTATACCATCTAGCCAAGATGAAGTCAGAATAGCAATCAATCAGCTGAAGAATAATAAAGCTGCAGGAGCCGATGGGTTACAAGCCGAAGTATTCAAGACTGGTGGTCAGATGCTGGTCAGGAGCATGCACCAGCTGATTAGTACAATTTGGCTAGAGGAATGCATGCCCAATGATTGTAACCTCAGCATCCTGTGTCCCGTGCACAAGAAAGGAGGCAATACGATATGTGCCAGAGGAATAAGTCTCCTTCCCATCGCATATAAAGTGCTATCCAGCGTACTGTGTGAACGACTGAAGGCAATGGTCAATGACATTATTGGACCATACCAATGCGTCTTCAGACCTGGCAAATCCAACATTGACCAGATTTTTACTCTGCGCCAAATCCTGTAAAAGACCCACGAAAAACACATCGACACATTCCATCTATTCGACGACTATTAAGCCGCATTTGACAGCCCTTTCCATTCAGAGGTGTTTAAAGCCTTGTCTGCGTTCGGCATTCCTGCAAAATTAATACGGCTATGCAGAATAACTTTAACTGGCACAAGATTAGGAGTTAAAGAAGGAAAGGACTTCTCGGTGCACTTTAATACCGAACGAGGATTCAGACAAGGTGACAGTTTGTCGTGAGATCTTTTTAACACCCTGCTGGAAAAAGTCATACGAGAGGCAAAGGTGAACAGAACTGGCAAAAAAATTTTGCTCGCCGACGCCGATGACACCGATATAATGAGTCGAACATTGCGAGCGGTAACAGCTACCTTTGAACAAATTGAGAAGGAGTCTGCCAAAGTGGGTCTGGCAGTAAACGGCGAGAAGACCAAGCTGATGATATCAACGCGAAAGACGTCCAGTAGACTCGGACCAACTGTGGAGCTTGAGAACTACAGCTTCGAGGTAGTCAAAGATTTTATATAACCTGGAACCGCCACAAATAAACTAATGACATCTGTTTTGAAATTCGGAAAAGGATTGTGATGGCCAACAGATGCTACTATGGTCTGAACAAACAACTCAAAAGCAAGGCCATCTCCCGCCAGACCAAACTCACAATCTACAAGACGCTGATACTACCCGTGCTGTAGTATGGATCTGAAGCATGGGTACATGCGCAAGCAGATGAGGCAGCTCTTGGAGTGTTTGAGAGAAAAATTCTCCGAAAGATCTATGGGCCGATCTGCGTTGATGGTGAATATCGCCGTCGAATGAACCATGAGTTGTACCAGCTAATCTCGGACATCGACATTGTTAGACGTATTCAGTTGCAGCGACTACTTTGGCTAGGTCATGTTGTGAGAATGGATGCAGATGCCCCAGCCCAGGAGGCATATAAAAGCGAACCAGCTGAAGGGGAAGGCCACGAATAAGATGCAAAGACCAAGTGGAAGACAACATGCCGAATATAGTCTTTCAAATTGGAACAACTGCGCAAAAGACCGACGCGCCAGGAAATCTTTTTTAAGCTCGGTTTATGGAACGAAAGTTCTGTCACAAGCCAGCTAAGTAAAGTAACTAACTTTTTTCTTTTTTACTTACATTTAACTAAAATCGATGAAAATGCCGAATACATGATGAACATAATCGAATAGAAACAGTAACGGAAATTATTCAATGCATTCTCGGCCTCATTGCCGATGCCATAGTAAATAAATCCGATCATCAGGGCCGTTATCAAATGTATAACGAAGCGTATCAGTGTTAGGGATTTATCACGCCATAATATCAGGAATGTTCTCAGCAGCAGGATACCCAATTGCCGGTAGAAGGGTGTGGCATAAATATTTTCACTTTTACACAAATTCGGTTGTTGTTGGGCGGGGCAACAGCCGTTCTCGGCACTCGATGAGTCCAGATCTTTGGTATTATCACTCAGCAGGCCATGACTATCACCTAAACGCGATGCCATTTCCTTAATGGGTGTGAGGGGTTTATTGTTTGTCCCCGAGGTCGTGGTGGTGGTTGTCTGTTGGCTACCACCACTATTATTCCGCTGATAATAGTGATAGGGATGTGTGGGGGCTGTGGAATTGTATTTTTGTTGGTTATTCAGCAAACCATTTGTGTTGTTGCTATTTACAATGGCAGGTGTGGGCAGCACGGGGGCGGTGACGGGTGTCATGAGGCCAGAGGCCATCATTTTATCTAAAAAAATGAAAGTAACAGTTAAACATATTTCCTAAATTTCCTATCTTCCAACGAACTTACCAATTTTATGCATGGCCTCCAATTGTTTGGCCCTTGCAGCCTTCGTCTGCCGATAGCTGTTATTTCGACCATTTTCAATTCGGGCTATTAGCTTTTCATTTTGTGGTCCATAGTCATCGGTGGCAATTTCCATTACTAAAGGAGATACGAATTTGTTAAAAAATCCAAAATATATTTTTGTTTCCATCCTCCACTTACAATAATCGGCGGGATTGTATGACTCTGGGCAATCTAAACCTACATCGGCCAAAAATGGCACCAGATTTTGTGTTCCACCCGAATAAATGCAGCTGCCTCGTGCAATGGCATACAAATGATCGAACATCTCAAAGGTCAGGGCGCTGGGCTGATGTATGGTACAGATCACGGTACGTCCTTCCAGGGCCAGTTTCTTTAGCAGGGATATACATTGATTGGAGGTGGAGCTATCCAGGCCGCTGAAAAAGGAGACATAAAAAAAGTGGATCTTAAAAATCTAAAATTTAAATATTTCCAAAAATAGCTGGACTTGAAAAAATATGTTTAAAAAATCCAAAATATAAATTTGAACCGATTTTCACGAAACTTTGCACACATCATTCTAGACCTAATTGAGTACTCTATGCCAAATTTCGTGCAAATCGAAAGTTATTTAGGGACTTTGGTGCACCATTAACCTTAAATCGGACGATAATATATATGGGAGTTATATCTAAATCTGAACCGATTTTCACGAAACTTAGCATACATCATTTTAGGCTGAATTCAATATGCTTTGCCAAATTTCGTGCAAATCGAAAGATATTAAGGGACTTTGTTGTACCATTTACCTTAAATCGGACGAAAATATATATGGGAGCTATATTTAAATTTGAACCGATTTTCACGAAACTTAGCACACATCATTCTAGGCTGAATTCAGTACGCTGTGCCAAATTTCGTGCAAATCGAAAGATATTTAGGGACTTTAGTGCACCATTTACCTTAAATCGGACGAAAATATATATGGGAGCTATATCTAAATCTGATCCGATTTTCAAGAAATTTTACACACATCATTCTAGGCCCAATGCAGTGCGCTTTGCCAAATTTCGTGCAAATCGAAGGATATTTAGGGACTTTGGCGTACCATTTACCTTAAATCGGACGAAAATATATACGGAAGCTATATCTAAATTTGAACCGATTTTCACGAAACTTAGCACACATTATTCTAGGCTGAATTCGGTATGCTGTGCTAAATTTCGTGCAAATCGAAAGATATTTAGGGACTTTGGTGCATCAATTACCTTAAATCGGACGAAAATATATATGGGAGCTATAACTAAATCTGAACCGATTTTTCCAAATTTCAATAGGGGCCAAATGAATGAGCTCTACACCTATGAATGACCCTTAAAAAAGTCTTTTTTAAAAAAATCGCCTGAAGTCCCTTTATTAATATTGAAAAAGGATATATTGTGAAGCACCCACTCACCTCGTTGGTTCATCCAAAATTAATACCGGTGGATTATTGACCAATTCCAAGGCTATGGATAAACGTTTCTTTTGGCCACCGGACAGCTGACCCGTTCGGGTATGGCGATTTTCATACATGCCAATAGCTTCTAAGATCTTTTTCACCTAAAATTAAAGAAAAAAATTATTAACCGAGAATCTCAAAGAGTAAATCCGATCCACCTACCCTCTCCCGTTTGGCACTTTTACTCATGTGAGCGCCAATTTTTAAATTTGCCGAAAAATGCATGGCCTCATTGACCGTCAGATACGGCTGTAGACTAGTATCCTGTGTGATAAATGCAACATTTTGCTTAAAGGCCTTTATGTCGCGGACAGTGTCATTGACCAGAACATCACCGCTATAACCAAATGATCTGGAGTTCGGAAGAGAGAGAGAGAAAGAGAAATTGTTGTCCATTATGAATTTTTGTTTCATTCTCTATAATTTAAGGTTACATTACGTATATCCTGAGAGTATATTCAGGCAGGTACTTTTCCCCGCTCCCGATGGTCCAACAATGGCACTTAGTTCACCGGCCTTAAAAAATCCTGTGATGCCGTGTAGAATATCTTTGGTTTCTGGAAATAAAGCAAAAGAGAGAGGGTTGTGATAAATATTTGTAAGAGAAAAAGAGAGAGAGAAACATAAAATTGTTTTTGCGACTGGGTTCAGAAATTCCTCCGAGTTTTGTTCGACATGTCTCAATTAAATTAATTAATCAGGTCAGTTTTTGAAAACTCCAACACATGAATAAATATTTTTATGAATATAATATTTTTCAAGGCCTTAACAGTTGCGTGGATTTTACACAACTATGTTGTCAGGGTATTATAGCTTTGTGCAGCGCCAAAAGTTTGTAACGCCGCGAAGTATTGGTCCTAGACCCAACTTTAAGTATACCGATCGTCATATCTCGACTAGCTGAGTCGATCTAGACATGTGTGTCCGTCCGTCCGTCTGTCCATTATAATTTGTAAACACGATACAGGCCACAGTTATGGACCAATCTTCACGAAATTTTGCATGTAGGATGGGTTCTGGACAATGAAGACCCCTATTGTTTTTGGGAAAGATCGGTTAATATTTAGGAAATGAAATGAACGAAATACTAAATTTTTGTCGGTTTTTCTGGTCGCTCCAGAGGCCACAATAATGGCCCGAACATCGTAAAATTTTGCATGGAGAAGGGGATCGGGCCAAAGAATAAGCATGCCTGTTTCGATAAAGATCGGTCAATATTTAGCGGATCAAATGGAGCCTGACTTTTGTGTGAAAAAATTACAAAATTTGTATTCTATAGCGTATAGATTTACCCCTGAAGAACATAGGCCCGAGACGTTGATATTATATCCAAGTGGAGTGGTTGGCCATTAAATTAAGACCAATTATATTGTTGTACGTTCTCGGATGTGGGAGTTACACCTATATATTTACATGTATCTCAGTATTCGTATATTATTTAGTAACCCATTATTACTCTAGAGAGCGGAACTATAGCGCTGATCGCTTTTAAATGTCCCATGAAGTTCCAGATATGGTCATATGATCAGATAATAATTTTGGAATGAAGTGGACCGAAAACTTAATTTTTTGTGTTATTTCACAAATGAAAGCCGAACATCACAACACAACCCACGGTGAAGGGAATCTGGACAATAGCTGTACTGAATACTCGTAATATTCGGAAAATATGTCAGTATGAGGAAGAGATGCTGTTTACCTCTAATCGGGCAAAAGGGTGCAAATATCACGAAATATTGCCCAGGCCGGAATAAACATTCGCAGAAAATTTGAGTTCCGTGGGAGTTGTGTAGGGTATCGTATGGTCGGCCCCGTCCGACTATACTGCTTCGCTCACTGGTTTAAAAATAATTTTAATACACACCTTGTATGGCCCTTAAAAATGTTTTTAAAAAATCCACGCCTTGTATACCTCTTAAAAAAATATTGTTAAAAAATCCACGCCTGTTACGGGCCTCAAAAAATGTTTCTCTATTGATCCTTAAAAAATCTGTTTAAAAATCCCCTCCTTTTGGTCCCTTTCAAATTCGTATTGTTTTTCAAATTGACCCAATTCATTGCAAAATCCATCCCTCGCTCCAGCCCCAACTATGTTCAACGCGTATTTAGTTCTGTATTTACATATGTGGGTGTGTATGTGTGTAAACATGTACTACATATGAATATGTACTTTGTTTTCGATTGATAAGACCCCGTCTGTCGGGTAAGTCGGCATAATAAACAAAATTGCATTTGTTTAATAAAAATTGTAATACACATTTACATAAATAATGAACGATTACATATTTATATGTGTGTGCATATATTCATCAGACACTGCCTTATATTGTTGTAAATAAATATTAAAATTATATCTCCTCCGCCCTCGAATCTATTCCCACCCTACCGATCAGTTTAGAACAATGTAATTATGATGGATTGGATTATGTATGTAGGTATGTAAATATGTATGTTCTCTGTTTATTATTTATTATTTGTTTTTGTTTCTGCCATCTCCCGGGCAATTGGAAACAAAGTAAAATAAAAATTTTGCTTTGTGGTTTATATTTTTTTTGTGAGTTCACAGCGAACTCAAAGCTTAGTGAAAATCCCTGCCTTTTTTACCCCATTTTTCATTGTTAAGTATAACTGCACCGAAAGTCCACTGACTGGCAATGACACATATGTATGTATGTCGGTATGTTTGTATGAATGAATGATAAATATACGTATATTGGAGTAATATCAGTGATATCGGCACGTTCGGCAATGTTTGTTTTTGATAAACGGAACGACTGCTAAAATGTTTTATCACAGACTCAGGGCTTCCCATTGACATATGCGCCAAAATAAAGTTACACACATACATATGTAGATATGTTTTCCATTGTCATGATTTTGTAAACAAAAAATTAAACATTTTTAAAAAATCCACGCCTCCGTCGAGGCCTTGAAAAAATATTTTTAAAAAATCCACGCCTCCGTCGAGGCCTTGAAAAAATATTTTTAAAAAATCCACGCCTCAGTCGAGGCCTTGAAAAAATATTTTTAAAAAATCCACGCCTCCGTCGAGGCCTTGAAAAAATATTTTTAAAAAATCCACGCCTCCGTCGAGGCCTAGAAAAAATATTTTTAAAAAGTCCACGCCTCCGTCGAGGCCTTGAAAAAATATTTTTAAAAAATCCACGCCTCCGTCGAGGCCTTGAAAAAATATTTTTAAAAAATCCACGCCTCCGTCGAGGCCTTGAAAAAATATTTTTAAAAAATCCACGCCTCCGTCGAGGCCTTGAAAAAATATTTTTAAAAAATCCACGCCTCAGTCGAGGCCTTGAAAAAATATTTTTAAAAAATCCACGCCTCCGTCGAGGCCTTGAAAAAATATTTTTAAAAAATCCACGCCTCCGTCGAGGCCTAGAAAAAATATTTTTAAAAAGTCCACGCCTCCGTCGAGGCCTTGAAAAAATATTTTTAAAAAATCCACGCCTCCGTCGAGGCCTTGAAAAAATATTTTTAAAAAATCCACGCCTCCGTCGAGGCATTGAAAAAATATTTTTAAAAAATCCACGCCTCCGTCGAGGCCTTGAACAAATATTTTTAAAAAATCCACGTCTCCGTCGAGGCCTTGAAAAAATGTTTTTAAAAAATCCACGCCTCCGTCGAGGCCTTGAAAAAATATTTTTAAAAAATCCACGCCTCCGTCGAGGCCTTGAAAAAATATTTTTAAAAAATCCACGCCTCCGTCGAGGCCTTGAAAAAATATTTTTAAAAAATCCACGCCTCCGTCGAGGCCTTGAAAAAATATTTTTAAAAAATCCACGCCTCCGTCGAGGCCTTGAAAAAATATATTTAAAAAATCCCACGCCTATTGATGGCCCTTATAAAAATATTTTTAATCCAGTGAGCGAAGCAGTATAGTCGGGCGGGACCGACCATATGATACCCTACACAACTTCCACGAAAATCTAACATTCTGTTAGATGGAAAATATTTCCCGATATTTGCACCCTCTTGACCAACTAGAGGTCAACAAATATTACTAATTTTCGTTCATATTCTAATTACTTGTCCAAATTCCCTTCACCGGGGGTTGTGTTGAGATGTTCGGCTTTCAATTGTGGCCTATGGGTCGACTCGAAACACAACACAAAAAATAAATGTTCGGTTCACTTCATCCCAATATTATTATCCGGCCATCACCGAAAATTATATTCGTTGTCCTTTACCATACCTGGATCCTCATGGAAAATTTCAAAGCGATCGGCGGTATATTTTCGCCCTCTAGTGGGATAATGGTTCACTAAATAATGTAATGTAATGAATACATAAGCACCTATAAATATTTACGTGTAACTCCCACATTCGAGTGCATACGACAATATAATTGGTATCAACATAAAGGCCAACCACTCCTCTTGTATACACTATCAACTTCTCGGCTCTATGTCCTTCAGGAGTAAATATATACGCTATAGAATACAAATTTTGTAATTTTTCACACAAAAGTCAGGCTCCATTTGACCCGCTAAATATTGACCAATCTTTATCAAAACAGGCATGTTTATTCCTTGGCCCGATCATATTCCTTGGCCATAATTGTGGCCTCTGGAGCGACCAGAAAACCGACAAAAATTAAGTATATGGTCCATTTCATCCCCTAAGTATAACCCGATTTTTACCAAAAAATATAGGGGTCTTCATTGGCCAGAACCCATCCTACATGCCAAATTTCGTGAAAATTGCTCCATAACTGTGACCTGTATCGTGTTTACAAATTATAATGGACAGACAGACGGACGTACGGACATACATGTCTAGATCGACTCAGCTAGTCGAGATTTGACGATCGGTATATATTTCGCAGTGTTACTCTCTCTTGGGGCTGCACAAAGCTATAATACCCTGACAACATAGTTGTGTAGGGTATAAAAATAGTATTTTCTTGTAGGGGAAATTGGTAAACATTCGGAATAATTACGATTTTAACCCTAATAAAATATATTTTTGTTATTTTAACAAATTATTTTTTTTTTCTGTAATTCCTCATGGATGGATAGGGTTTCTACAATTGCTATTCTAATTAAATAAATGATTGGTCTGCTGTAGCCTCTACCAGGTGATGGGGTCTAACTATCTTTGAGGTTTATGTATTGGTAGATGTCCTTGCTTATTTATTGTTCCAGCTAAGTGGATTATTAATCTGAATTTGTATATCATAGGCGATGAGGCTCGTTGCCTAGAATCAACACTTCTGTGAATTGTGGCAGCGGTTGTAGTCCATGCTTACTTGGTGTTGCATTCCCTTGGTTGGCGCTATCTCCTATTGGACGTTTAGGTTTTTTTTTTACTTTTGATCTAATTGGAGTGGATAATCGTCTGTCCTAGGTGTTGGGGCTACGCCACCTATCGTTGCATAGAAACAATACCTCATTAATGACCTCAATCTTTGGGCATTGGCTGGGGTCTTTGCTTACCTAGTGCTTCGATTTGTATTTTTGTTTGAGGCTATTTGTTGTAGTCTCCACTTGGTAATGGAGTTGCCATCTATTGCTGCCTAGAAACTACTCTCCATGTATTTTTG